TGACAAATGATTGATTAGGTTATTTCATAATAGAAGGGTCAAGATTATCCTCCTGAAGCAACGGGAACAGCATTCACAAATGCCAGGGAAAATATTTAGGGCGTCGCTTTTGCTGTCTTTTCAAAGCTTCTGGCTTAGACCTCCGCTTATCTGACACTGAAGAACAATGTGACTTTTTTAGCAACAGGGTATCTGTTCCCACAGTAATAGTCGGGTAACACACCTCATTTTGGTTCTATTTATAAATTAGTAGGAAAATCAAACAATATGTTCAATTATCAAATATGGAGAGAATAGAAATTCCTAAAAGTAGGTTGCTGTTTTCTTCTTAAACCAACGGACAGACTTTAACAAAAACAGCATAAAAAAAAAAAAAAAAGTAAACGGAACTCGTAGAACACTGAAGTTTCCTTTTCACTTCTCGGTGTAGAGAATTTTTGTTTCTTGGGTCTGGTAATTTCTTGGGAGGCTAATTCTTTATAATGGAGCCTATATTGGGCTGATTCATAGAGTGTAGCCTCCAGCTCTCAGTATTTGATGAGACTTCTCACCAGAACGTGGAGTGTAAGTATTTAAAATGCAAAGGTCACCATTGTGAGAGGCCATTATGTGGAAAATGAGACTTAACAATGCCCATTTTTCACAATAGGCAAGATGGGGAAACAGCCTAAATATGGATCAGTGGAAGAATGGAGTAAAGAAAGTGTGATATGTACATACAATGGAATGCTATTCAGTCTTAAGAAAGAAAGAAATCCTGTCACGTGAGACACGGATGAACCTTGAGGACATTATGCTCTGTGAAATAAGCCAGCCACAGAAAGACAAATCTTGCACGATCCCGCTTACAGGAGGTATTTAAGACAAACTCAGAGAAGCAGAGAACAGGAAATCGGTTGCCAGGGGGCAGGGGCGGGGGGGTTGGGAGGGACGTGGGTTGCTGTTCAACAGGTATAATGTTTCAGTTATGCCACATGAATGCGTTCTGAAGATCTGCCCTGCAACATTGTGGCTATAGTTAACGATACGCTTTAAAATCTGTTAAAAGGGTAGATCTCATGTTAAATATTCTTACTACAATCAATCAATCAATCAATCAATCAATAAAAGCAAGCCCAAAGTGCAATAATGTCATGCCACCTTTTGACAAAATGCTATAAAGGGCAACACACTCTCATCATGGAACACACTGCAGGTCAGATGAAATAAACTTTAATCCACTCCTAAAAACATGTGTTGTGGAAAACAACAGATTTCCTTTTCCCCATCAGAAGTAGAGTTGGAAAAAGGATACTATTTTAAAATAACAACTTCTACATATCCAGGGGTTACTATGTAGCAGGCCCTACACCAGACTCCTTGTATACAGTATCTTATTCAAACTTCACAGGGGATGAATGCCTTTATTATCCCCATTTTACAGATGAAAGACTGAGGCTCAGAGAGGGAGAATCATTGGATGAAAGGGCTTACAATAATAAGGTCTTGAAAGGAAAAGCAATTTCCAATTGCTCTTCTCCTAGTCTCTCTTAAGCCCACTCCAAGAAAGTCTCCGTACCCACAACTAATTCCAGGATGACTTAGCAGAACTCATCGTACACTTGCCCCGTCAGCAGTATTTGTGCAGTTAACCATCTCTTCCTTCTCCGTATACTTTCCTTGCTGGGCTTTTAGGATACCACATGTTCCTGGATTTCCTCCTCCTTTAGTGGATGCTTCTTTTAGTCTCCTCTGCTGGTTCCTTCTTTTACTATTGGGATGCTCTTGGGCTCAGTCCTCGGGCCTCTTGTTTTCTCAGTACTCATGCCCTGGTGATCTCATTCAGTCTCTTGCCTACGAGAACCATCTGTAGGCTGGTATCTCCAACCTGGACCCTTTACCTGAATGCCAGGCTCCTACATTGGACCGCTTACTCCACCCCTGCAGGTGGATATCTCATAGACACCTCAAACTTACTATATCCCAGCGGAACCTCTGATTTTCCCCCAGACCTGCTCTACCCAAAGTTATCCAGTCTGTGTGGGCAAAGGCTGGCAAGTTCCATCCTCCTCAGGTGCAAAGATTCAAGACCTTGGAGTCAGCCTTCACTCTTCTCTCTCCCTCACGTCCCCCAGGCAGTCTGGCAGGCAGTCCTGTTTTCTCTATTTTCACAATAAATCCAGAATCTGATTTCTCCTCACCTCTGCTGCTTCTACCCTGCCTTGAGCACCATCATTTCTCACGTAAATGGTTGCAGAAGCCACCTAACTGGCTGCCTGGTCTCCTTTCGCCCTAGCATAGTTTGTTCTCCCCTGAGCTGCTAGAATTATTCAGTTAGACCGCGAGTTAAATGACAATTGCGGTAGCCTTGAAATTTCCCAATGGTTCCCATTTTTATTGAGAGTAAAAGTGGAAATCCTCGGGGCGCCTGGGTGGCGCAGTCGGTTGAGCGTCCGACTTCAGCCAGGTCACGATCTCGCGGTCCGTGAGTTCGAGCCCCCGCGTCGGGCTCTGGGCCGATGGCTCAGAGCCTGGAGCCTGTTTCCGATTCTGTATCTCCCTCTCTCTCTGCCCCTTCCCCGTTCATGCTCTGTCTCTCTCTGTCCCAAAAATAAATAAACGTTGAAAAAAAAAATTAAAAAAAAAAAAGTTGAAATCCTTGCAGTGTTTGCAGGGACCGCTGTCATCTGGCCACTGTCACCTCTGACGTCCCCTCTGCCTCCTCTGTGCCTGCCTTTCTCCCTCTCCTTTCCACTGGCTTCCCTGCTGGTCCTCGAGCAGCCCCAGCATGCTTCAGTTTTAAAGCCTTTACACGATGCTCTCTCTGACAGGAATAGTCTTCCCCCTTCAAAGCTGTTCCGTCTTCTCAATGAGGATCCTTTGACTACCCCAAATAACGTGGACTCTGCTCCCCGGATCCCTGCTTAGTGTTGCTTAGTTATTTACAGAATCTCCTTCTGATGTATATAATCTAAGTTTTTTTTTTTTTTTATTAAGTTTTGCCTCTCTCTGGCAAGATTTTAAATCTCAATAGTTTCAAATACAGCTCTGTGACTAGAACAGACTTGACACATAGTAGATACCCAATAAATAATTGTTCAATGAATAACAGTGACAGGTTCTCAACACCTCAATTTGTGTTTCATGCTGATTCTCTGGGGATTATGTAATGAAACCAACTATCTCTGGTCGGCATGGATAGTGGCAAAACCGTGGAAAAAGAAGGTGATCAAACTTCAGTTTCCCTCCCTATAATAAACTCCGAGTATTTTTAGTTGCTATTATAATTATTGTTATCATATTTCATAGGGGCTTTCAAAAGATATTACCTTAATTCAAAGAAATTTCGCTAATGAATTAATTTTGCATATCACAATCAGCTGATGAAGGAGATCTTTTTAGCAGAGGTATGAAAATACCCGTTTGTCTTTCTTTTTTTTTTTTTTCAATATTTATTTTTGAGACAGAGAGAGACAGAGCATGAACGGGGGAGGGTCAGAGAGACAGAGGGAGACACAGAATCTGAAACAGGCTCCAGGCTCTGAGCGGTCAGCACAGAGCCCGACGCGGGGCTCAAACTCACAGACCGTGAGATCATGACCTGAGCCGAAGTCAGATGCTTAACCCACTGAGCCACCCAGGTGCCCCCCGCCCTGTTTGTCTTTTTAATCATCTAAGCTTAAGGTTTCTGCTGTACAGGTGGGAAAAGGGATGTGGTGTCAGTCAGATGTCTGATTTTCTACAAAGTTTAAAAATATATCTCTTCAAGGATATGTTTTGGATGATCTTTAATAGTGCAGCTACAGGAAATCGTATTATAGAGATTATTTACTTGGGTATTAGTGTTTCCAATACTCCCACTACTGCTGTAGCTGTATTTTATCTTTATTAATGGCTACCTCGTATGTAGTGCTTGCTCTGTGCTGAGTAGTTTTCTTCCACTCTCTCCCTAGTCCTACCATAACCTAGGAATTAAGGATTAATTATTATTCTCATTTCTTTGCTCAGACCGACAGAGAAGTTAAGAAGGTTGCCTCATCACATAGCCAGTGATGGAGTTGAACTGAAACCTGCTGTTTATCCTTACAGCTTATGCTCTTAACACTATATTGTGTTGCAGAAACCAAGGAGAGGAACATTTATCTTCTAAATGATTAATAAATGCCAGTAGAATGACACTATGAGAGCATTTTACATATAGGGAAATAAGGGTTTACTTCCTAACAGTCTGGATATTAAAGGCTGACGACTCTATGTCCCGAAATAAATTCTAAGAGGTAGAAATGGATCAAGTTTCAGTGAAAATGAAAATTGAGGTACAAAGGAGTAAATGCTGGATGCATTAAAATACATGTTCCCTGCCAAAATGAATTGTAATTGCTAATTATGTTATATAGGTAACTGAGGTAAATCAAGGCACTCAAAGGCCTGACATAAAAAATATTTCTGTGAAACTTAAAAATACTTTGAGCACTGAGGTGGTTTGCAGAGTATTCAGTGGTAACCAATTCATCAATACTTAGAGGGAAGAAATGTTAGCACATGATTTCTGGATTAAAAATCTGTGTATATTATATATATAATTATATTATATATATTATATTAATATTATATATAATATATTATATATAATATATATTATAATTATATATTAATTATATATTAATATATAATTATATATAAAATTATATATATAATATATATGCATATTATATATATGCACATATATATTGGTTGGTTGTATATATATATATATATATACAACAATATATATATATTGTGTACATATACACAATATATATTGCTTGATATACATTGGTTGATATGTATTTTTTTAATTAAAAGATACCTAGAAATCTCTTGATGAACTTAATAGGGTTTGAAATAAGAAGATGGTTTCTTTCTCCTTTCCCTTCCTGCTCGGAAACTAACAAAGCATTTGGTTATATAAGAAGCCCAAATCAGAGGAGTTAGGGTCTCTACTGAGCACCTGTAAGAAGAGATTGGAAAGTGTAATGTACCACCCGGCAGTCTGAGGACTGGGAGGCCGCAGCAACTGCAGATTTTTGTCTCTCTTGCTGAAGAGGTATCTTTGTGGTCTCTGGAGAAAGCTCAGGTAGCTGTTTGTGGCTTTCAGGATCGTGTCCTGAAACGGGAGTTATCTGAATGGAAAGAGATGCTGTGTATATCCCAGGCACTGGGTTAGGGGGTGGTGAGCAAGGCCTTTTGAGCCACGATGGTACCTCAACAGGTTGGGACAACCGTGGAGTATTAAAGTGGGCACTACTTCCTAGATCCTGGTTATGGATTAGTTTCAGTGTAGAAATTCGTCGAGTTTGAGAGTCCTGCGTGTAATCCTCTTGTAGAAATGGGGTGCTGGTGTCAGCATTTGATGGGGGGCCAGTGCTGGCAGCTGCTGGTAGTGGGTTAGTGATTTTTTGGGTATATGACACAGTTGTGTTAGATTCTTCCGAATACACAATTGTCTGGTTTGAGTCATCATTGGAATACATAGTTCCTTCAAGAGGTTTTCTGCTAGTAAAGTACTTCGTACAGGAGGGAGTTTGTGTGTTAGTTACTAGTTGATCTAAAATGTCACCCTGTGTGTGGCTGGTTATCAAGGAACTACAAAAGCTCTCTTCTCTGGGCGGTGGAAAGGGTGCCTGGATTGCCAAAAGCATCCGGAGAGAGAAATAATGTTGAAGGAAAAACAGAGAGAAAGTCAAAGTTAGTCATTAAAGAAACCAGCGTCAACCTTACCCTTAAAGAAAGTAAAACAATGTCATATCTCCTTATTATTCTACACATTTTGTTGGCTAGATTAAATGATCATTTTTGTTCCATTTAGAATGCCTTGTAATTTATTATCGATAGTTGCCCTCTGGGAGAAAACGGTTTTTATGGAGAATACATTATGAAGTTTGACTCCATCTATATTCTTGAAAATTATGTTAAAAATGAACATGTGTTCTCTTGACAAATTTTTTAGACCCTGGGATATATGCATAATTTTAGACTTTGAGGTATAGGTACCCTATATTTATTCACACTGTTTCGGTAACACTTTTAAGATTTGGGGCACAATTTTACTAAGATCTCCAACACAAGGTTCTTTCAGTTAATGTAATGAACAGTTGCATAACTCCTATTTATTGAATAAACATATGGCCGACCGCATAACTTTGAAATCAAAGCATCGGCTGACAGCTTTTTATGAATTTAAGGAAATATCATAAACATTATGTAGAAAGTGATCGTACTTTTATGAACTGAATCAGAAAAAAAGCCCCACAAAGCCCGTTTTGAGCTTAAAACTTGTCTTCTATGTTGTGAATTCAAGTTTGGCAAGGAATACAGATCCAAAAGCAAAAACACATTAAAGATAAAAGATGCATCTAAATATGCACATGTTGTTGGAGAAGAGACTGTAAAGCATATTTTTAACCATGTTTAAAATAACACAGTAAACAAGGCCGTGCAAGATTACCTGAGTTGGTGACTTTTTTTCTTGTAAGTTTGGTCGAACGCTTCTAAAACCTTTTGCTGCAAGAGAGGAATATGTAGCATCGCCGTTCAGTGTCTCTTGATTTCGATCATTGTAAGAGCTCCAAGCTTTTATTAAGGGAAGACAAATTGGATACAAAAATATCTACATTCACTTTTAACATTTTTTTTGGTAAAATTTATTTTTATTTCTAAAAAGAAATTAAATTCAGTTTCATGGACATAAGTGTATATGCAAATGAAGTTTACTGTGAGGTCAACAATGTGACTACAAATATGTTAACAAAAAAAAACTCACAACAAATGTAATGGTCATTCAGAATAGCTTTTCTGTACCTGAGTCTGGTGACTGAGAATCACGTCCTAAAAGAAAAAGAAATGCTGAAATTAATACCAGGGTAAAAGAAATGAACAGTCTAGTAAAGATCATTTGGGAAAGAACCACAACCACTTTCTTTTTTTTTTGCAAACATGATCTCATTTCTAAAACTCGAAGTAAGTCCAATCTACTAAATGAGAGGTTTGTGCATTTATGTTTATTTCAATTAAAATATCATTCATTAAACATAATATGTAATTAACACATATAACAAACACTGATTTTTTCCCCTCAATAATGTTGCAACTATGTAATTTTATCTTATTATTGCCCAAGCTGGATATATGAATTTTTAAATACCAAATTAAAGGATCAAAAGGTATCTGGTTTGAAAACAATAACTGCTTCTCCAAGCATTAAATCAAGCCACGAGATACTTAGTTTTCACTGCCCTGGTGTTAGTAACCATACTCAAGTCCTATGTTAGATAGCAGTCAATTTTTTGTAGCCTGCATTTCGTTTTTATATTTTAAGAAAGTGTAGGTGTTTCCACCATATTCTGCAATATTTTCAAATCGTTCTCTGGACTTTGAATTTTCTTCTTGTTGCCATTTTAAAAATCATTTTGTATTCAAATATGAAAGAGCTGTTACGGTATATTCCATTGTCTTGCAGAAAGCTATGGAAAACAAGTTCAGTATTAACATAGTTGGGAAATGGCTCAATGGCATATGTACTATGGGGTTTATTTGAATTATGCATTCAAGAATACTCTGTAACTGAGGTACACTTGAGGTAATCAGTTTGTTCTTTTATACCACATGGCCAACTTCTCACAGAATCATAAAGCCTGAACTTTAGAAAGGACCTTAGGGGTCATCCCGCCTGATCTTCTGTCCAGCCCTGGATTCCTCCTCAAGGTTTCCCGAGACCATTATTAAATTGCTGTATTTCAATGCCTGATAGAACATGAATGTTACATGTGAAAAGGACTCTTCATTTCCTTTCTAACGCTTATGGGATACTTTGAAATCTAAACACATGAATTTGGAGTGATAAAAATGAATCGAGAAATGAGAGTTTGATTTTTAGATAAAATATTTGGCATAGACTCTTTCCAAATCGAAGGAACAAACATGTGACATAGCAGAGAGTACATTACCATGTCTCCAGCTCACGTGAGTTAGAGAAGACTGACAAATCTTCATCCTTTGTGATAGTTGCTAATTTAGTATGGAATTTATCTCCAATGAGTTCAAAATCATTTTGCCATAATAAAATGGCTACCGCAAAGAAAAGCAATAACTTTGAAGACTTACATGTGAAATGTTTACTACTAGATTCTGTTTCTAGGATTTAATGGAAGCAGAAGTGATTGAAATTCTCAATCACCTCATAAAGATGAGGACTTTATAAAGAAAACAAACATGGTGTAGCAACGAAGAGCAATCATTAGAAGTCTGCTCTGGGGCCCTCAGGGAGAGAGATGTAATAACCACCTGGGTGTCACATACTGTTTGTGGACAAGGAACAAGTTTTGGGACCTGGAATGGCAATGAAAAGGGAAGGAGCATTAATAATTATTATTTATATCATAATTATCTGCGTAAGCGTAGGGAGTTTATTTCACCTTAGTTTGATAAAACTGAGCTTATAATGAAGGGTGTGTGGGTATATGCCGGGGATGGAGGTGGAAGGAGTCAGATGCTTGGAAGTACAAGAGGTATAGACACAGTGAAGGGGAGGAAGGTATATTTAGAGCAGATTTGAAGGATGCTTGAAATACACTTTATCTAATTGGTCGTTTGTAGAGGGGCAATTCTGTTTCTTCTTACTGGGGACCATGCTGGAGATTATGGAATCTACGGGGGAATAAACATTAAGTGCAAGACTCACAAGATAGTCACTCTAGGTTCAACCAGAGGCTTCCCTCTTCCCCTGTATTGGGCCCAGGGACTTCCAAATGAAACTGTACGTATGCTACAGGAAATACGAGATATTAATAATGGCGAGCTTTTCAAACTGTACTCAAATTGAGTTCTACTCAATTGAACTCAAATGAGTTCTACTGAATAGCCCTGCTTACCATGGTAGACACAAGTGTGTAGAATTATGAGCAAGGAGAAAGGAGAGAAATGGCCATGGATTAAAACTTCAGGATGAACCCATATGTTAATGAGTCTTATGTTAACGATTAAAGTCTACTCTTAAGTGGGTGGTCTCTTAAGGATATTCAAATGTACAACATTTGTTTCTTTAAAATAAATCCAGCTGTACAAAGCTAATACATCAAGTCCTGATTTGCTATTTTATTATACTTTTTCAGAGGCACTGAAAGATAAATACCATCCCACGTGAATACTGTTCACCATAGCCTTGCTTTTACTTAATTTCTGCCAAGAAAGCTTAGGAAAGGGAGGGCAAGTGTGATTTGGAGCAGGTAACAGAAAGTGTCTTGGAACCATGTCAAATAAAGAGAATATAGGTTTTTTTTTTTTTTTAAAGGTCTAGCATGTAAATGATTTGGCAGATTCGTGGGGGAAATGGTTTTTGCCCAGTATCTCGAGCGTGATTCATGATTGTTCATTTGTGAAAAAATAGAGCTTGAATTCCAGGGATCAGAAATTTTAGTTTCTAATGTTCTGTATAGTTGATGGTCATTGCTTCTCTGGAAATTAAAGAATGAGTAAATGGGACAGATTTATCATTCCCTGGCTCTTTTGCATGTGCATGTAAATAGGGTGTGTGAGAATTAAGAACTACAACGTCTCTTCTCTGGTACAACGAACACTCCCTGTGTCCAGGCAGAAGGTGGTGGACACCTGTCACAGAACTTGTGAGGCATTCGTGGCTCAGTTTGGGGATTGGGCTGGATGCCCTCAAAGGTCCTTTCCAATTTGATGATTCCACCATTACGATGTTTATGTAGCTGTGTTTGTGGTACCTGTTATATCATAATCTCTCCCCTGAGGTTTTGTTTAAATTCCTTTCCACTGGTATGCTATATTAGACATTATAAACTATACTTTTGTGAAAATTATGATGATTTTAATTCTTATAGTTCCTTTCTTTAGAGGGTTCAAATGCTTTGCAAGAATTAATTAAACATATTAATTCAAGGCAACTAATTGAACGCCTACTGTGTCTCTAAGTGCTGTGATAAGCCTTTTTATTTATTTTCTTCATTTACTCTTATTTAATTTTGACAAATCCTTGTGAGTTTGGGAAATGATTATGTTCTCAGAGAGGTAGGAAATGTCAAAAAATTCATTTTTTCTTGGTTTGTTTTGTTTTTTGGGTTTTCTTTTTTTTTTTTTTTTTAAGAAAGGAAACTTGAAGTCCAAACAGATGGAATTTCCCAAGGGTGTATATATAATACACAGGTGGTGTTGGTAAGACCCAGTTTCTTACCACAGTGGTCCAGTCCCAAAGCATAACACCATACTGGTGTTAGACTGCCACACATTTTGGTAAAATAAAATGTCCTTTGAGAGGCTTATTGTATCTCTATAGTCTATAGCCAACATACTTATTGTTGTGGCTCTAGCTTAGGTTGAAAATCTCTGTGTGCTATGAATTGCCCATTGGGACATTACTTCTCCTAAAAGATAAAGAGAAAGGCACCGATTTCAAGGACAAATAGTTGATCGCTAGCAGCTCATACTGACTGTGAATGAGCGGGGAGAGAGAGAGGAGCTTAGAATCTTTGGCAGAGGTAGTCTTTTACTTAAAGGTTGTTTTATCTTAATAATACCTAATGTAGTAAGTACTTACTAATCCTCTTTTGATTCACAAAAAAACACTATGTCGAATTAGTTCTTGTGAAGGCTACCATGTCATGTAAGAGGCATAAAAAGAGGCTGATTTCTTTCTTCAAAGTGTAATTAAAAGTTCCTTGAGAAAGGAATCATGTCTTATGTGTCTAATAAATACAAAAGAGATCCAGTTTTAATGTAACAATGAAAAGCAAAGTTCAGGGGACTTCATTCTCTAGAAATCTTACTCCTACTGATACAAAATTTAATTTTTTTTTAATGTTCATTTATTTTTGAGGGGGAGAGAGAGAGACAGAGCACGAGTGGGGGCGGGGCAGAGACAGAGAGGGAGAGACAGAATCCGAAGTAGGCTCCAGGCCCCGAGCTGACAGCACAGAGCCCACCACGGGGCTTGAACCTGGGAATGGTGAGATCATGACCTGAGCCACGGTGGGAGGCTTAACCGACTGAGCCAGCCAGGGGCCCCCTAATGAAAATTTTAAATGGTTGCGGCACCTGGGTGGCTCAGGTGGTTGAGCATGCAGATTTGGCTCAGGTCATGATCTCATGGCTCGTGAGTTCGAGCCCTGCATCAGGCTTGCTGCTGTCAGTGCATAGCCTGCTTTGGCTCCTCTGTCCCCCTCTCCCTCTCTTGGCTCCTCCCCCACTTGCACTCCCTCTCTCAAAAATGAGTATTTTTTTTAAAAGTTTAAATGGTCCAGAGCCATTGCATACTCTTATTACTGGAGATTACTTCATATTCCTAAAGTACTAAATCTTGTCCATCATTTGGATTCTGAAGCATTAAATATTTTCTCCTAAATTGAGTGTTATGAAATTGATGGTGTTCTAGTTTTGAGTCTCCAAAATGGCAATCTCTGTTTCAATATGCTACTACTCCGTTAGTAAACTTTTGTAAATCATAACAATCTGGCATTGTTAAAGTAGTGCCACATTCCCTAGATGGTACCCTCAGATGGTCCGCGTCTGAGCAGCTTGGGCCAGAATTTTACTTGGTTGAAATGCCGGTGGCATTTGTGGTTAGGCATTCCAATCACCTGCTGGCCCTGGAATTCTATTTATTTACTTATTTACTTAACCAATCAATCAATCAATTTATTTATTTATTTTCCTATTGCCCTTTCTTCCCTTTTCTCTCGGGTATCCCACATAAACTACACTTGAGTTTTTCTAACATGTTTCCACGCTCATATACACAGGAATAAACATGTACAAATACATACACGAAGATCTCTCTTAACCAAAATGATGTCATACTGCATACTTTGCAATGAGATTTGCGTTTAAAAAATGTAATATATTATGGAACCACCTGGACCGGTATTTAAACTTGTACATTGAAATACACTTGTGACCTGGAGGTGGTGGTGGCTAAGGGTGGGATTCTGCACATGAAAGCTTGTTTTTTCCCTCAACATAGCTGAGTACTTTAGGATCAAGTGGCTTTAACCAAGGACATTCTCACTATAATTAACCACTAAATGTATGTGTATTAAAGGCACTGATATGCAGAGTATGAATTAAAATTATCTAAACGCTCTCAATCTCTTTCCAACTTCTCCCGAACTTACAAATATTATAAATAAAAAAACAAGGAACCCCCACCAACCAACCCACAATCAAGCCAACTAACCAACCAGCCAACCCACAAACCAGTCACGATAAGGTCTAGGCATATTTCAGGGCCTACAGACACTGGGGGTGCTGGGTTCACTTTCACCTTCCGCAGCAACAGCCCCTCTCAGGGCACGTTGTGCCCACAGGCTTAGGTAAGTCAGATAGACATTTGTCATCCAGAGACCCACCTCATTGGATGCTGACATATCACATTCTCAATGGCTTTCTGCAGATATTTATATCTGAGGGTACCAATTAATCTTATTCGGATCAAGACGTTTAAAATATGTATTAGAAGGGTCTTTGGTGACTGGATTAAAGGACGTTTTAGGGTCTTTTTCAAAACTATTATTCTATCATATTGTTTGCAACCTTTGGTGAAGAAGTGAATTCATAATGATTCAGTTTCCTGAAAATCCCTCTTCCTGACCCCGTGTCCCCACCACCCGACAGTTTTCAGATAAAAAGAGAACAACTAAATCATGTGGAAGTTACCTTAACTGAATATGATATTGCTTTAGTTCACGTGGAAAAAAAAAACTGAATTTGTTATTAACACTTGTAGCTGTTACGCAACACATTTTTGTCAGGTGACTGTTGTTTTTAATTAGATTTTTAACATGCTTTTTGCAAGAGATCAGTTTCGTTTGGCTTTTTATTTTTAGAATAAAAACAGTCATAAGGGATAGGAGCTATTCTTGAGACAAGAAAAATAAGAACTCGTAGGGCATTAGAAAGGTATTTACAGCCACTTTCATCATCCACACAGGATAATTCTGGAAGGAGAGAAAGGTCAGATAAAGCCAGTAGATTGTGACATTCTGTGAGTTAGTGATATTATACCTGCAGCCAATAGGTTTGGAGAACTTTGAACTCTCTTCACAGATGTTAATGTAACAGACATGGCAGCACGTTTGCGAGCACACCCACCGCTATCTGAAAGCAAAAAAATGATATAGCAGAGGCCACAGCAAAGGAGAAAGCACATGCACTATCATGCATTTTCAGGTGGAATGTGCCAGACATCCATGAGGAAGATGAACAGCCAGAATGAGTAACCATGGGATACATCTGAACATTTCACACCCACCCCAAACTACGACAAAGCAGAACCAAACAACCAGGAGTCTGTTTTAGCAATAGATGCCAATGCTTTAGTGAAAACACAGATTTTACACTTAGTATATTAATGGTTTTCTTTACTGAAAACACAAATAGGGAGCTCAACTTCGTTTGTACCATTTAAATTCAATTAATATTAAATTTATAAGCAGTGTGAGTAGCTTTTGGAGTTATGGGCAGCCTGTATTTCAGGACTGAGACGTATGATATAGTATGTTTTGTATCCATCATTTAGGTTTTACTGTATTTTAGCTATTTATGGTTCCTAAAAGTAGCTTGAATCACTTCTTGAAGTAAAAGTTGTTAACTGATACAGGCATGGTCTATTTGATCTATAGGACTCATAAAGAAACATGTATCATTTTAGAAATTCTCTGTCTTCCTATTTGGAATCAAAGGCAATATTGATATATACAGGATTGAAAGGACCAATGTTTATGAAATTAAATTGCTTTTATACCTTTGAACAATATATATGATGATCTATATACTTACACTGTATGGAAATCACAACATGAAATAAAATAAGTGAAAATGCATCAGCTATTTTAACATGATATGAGAAGTTCAGAGTAGCAAGACTTCTAAAATCGGAAGGCTCATGTTCTAGTTAGGAACAGATTCCAATTTCATTCCCACATTCCTTTGTATATGGAATGTGCAATAAATAGTTTTGCTCCTTCTCCGGGAATGAAAACAACTGAAATTGAATTCTTTTTGGAGGTTATAACAAGAAAAACAAATCCTATAACCACCAATGTGATAACATCATCATTGTATATTGCCACAGGCTAATCTCCTTTTTTTTTCCCTTTCCTTTATTTCTTAGAGAAAAGGATGCACTTTGTTTATGGGAAGTGAGAGAATTTAAGAGAGCTTGGAAGTGAAACTTGAATTAATTATTGGCAAAACCGCAAGCAGTAAGATCAGTAGAATTTACAAGTGGTGGAATGATTCTCATATCCAGCTAGAATTTCTTGAATATATGTTGAAAATCACGATTTCCTAATGCAGATAATAACTAGAGCAGAAAAATGACGCAACAGAAGCGAAGTCAAATAAATCAAAGGCCAAACAGAGAGAGACACAAATGGTAGAAACACACAGTACTAAAGATACCTTTAAGGGGGGCACCAAGAGGATTTTTGCAAATGGCAAAAATAAATAAACACATAAATACATAAATACATAAAATCTACAAGAGAGGAGTGTTTCGGATTAAATGGAGGCAATGTCACTGAATGTGTGCTGTATAGCAGCTATGAGTGGTCTAAAAGGATCGTGTAGTCAAGTGTGTCGAAAGCGGACACTGACCTCCGGGAAGTTTTATCTTCTAGTTCTGTTAATTCTGAACATCTGAAAATTTCAAAATGAGGAGACTCGGGGTTACTCCTTCAGCCCATGGTTCCAAAACTGCGTGCTGAGGCGCCCCGGGCCCCATCAGGAGATTCATAAGGGCTTGGGAGGATATTTTGTGTTCTTGAGGAGAACACAGCGATCCCTATCAGACACTGCACGAAACTACTAGCCTGAGCGAGTCCCATTTTCAACGTAGTCAGTTGTGTGGTCTGCCTTTAGATGATATCACATCTTTGAAAAGCTGGGTTTTGGTGATCACTGCGGCAAAAAGCAAGGACCCTCTGAAAATAATTTGGGGCCAGGAAAAGAGAGTGGTGATGTACACTCTAATTCCATGGTCTGAGAAGTTTTGTGTGTGTCCAACAGGCACACACATCCCATTAATAAGTATATTAATGTGGTTATAAAGAATTAAAAAAAATGATTATTTTTTTCAAGTTAAAGCACATTATTTTTTCAAATTGCTTCTCAGTTGGTAGAACATGGGTACTTATTAAGTTGTCTGCACCTACTGCTTAATAAATAGAACCGTGAAGTATTTCTTTTGGCTTGAGAGGATGGCTAAAAATTCCCAAGCTATCCCGGCACTATAAAACCAGAAAGTGTAGGAACCTCTGGGTTAAACTGTGTCTGTATTCTAAGCTAAGACCTACATAAAATGACGTGAGAATCCGTTTTTTATTCACCGTCTAATAAAGAGCTCCCCTCGAAAAGCTGAGGCATCTGTGAAATTGCTAGAACAGAAAAATCTATTGTGTTCTCTATCTACTTACTCATGTGTTGATACTTTCTGCTCTTCCTTGAAGATAGGTGTGAGATCTCAAAGTGAGGATGCTGTCTTTAGTACTGTGGCGTTTTAAACAAAAGGGTCCAGTCACTTGTAACCCACTTTGTATGCATAGGTTCGAATATCATATTTTGTATGCCTGTATGTGTGTAAATTCACCCAGGTAAGCAAAGTAACTTTGCAAATCAGCATTCTATGCAGAGCCACACTCACTCCTTTTAAATGAGAGCATGCTTTAGAGGGGGTTGCATTCATGTAACAGACTTGGAGTGATAACTTGGCTCAAGTACCCCAGAGACCTAAACAAACGCACTAATTTCTCCCTGCCTACTTTACTATTTAAGGATTGAATTCCAACACTAGGCAGATTAATTACTGCATGCGTTGTAATGAATATGGCATATTTAGTATGATCACATATTACACCTCCGTCATGAATAGGGTTATACTATAAAGGCAAATCAACACTCCACAAAATGAAGGCTATTGGGAAGTTAGATTCAACTTTAATCCGTGAGGAGATGCCTGCAAAGAATTAATGAATACAACCTCCTCAAGTGGGCAGTTTGCTGGAGTGACAACTCTCACACCATGCCTTCTCCTGTTCAGCTGTGTTCTCTCTGTTCTGTTTGCTTTCTTCAATCCTTTTGCCTTGTAATATTTCTCCTTTCATTTCCCATGTCTAACTCTCCCACATCTGTCCCACATCTCCAACTGTCCAAATGCCTTTACTTGGTTCTTCTCTAGGGTTATCATCTCCCTTGATTTCTCAGCTTTCCTTATATGTTTTGACCGTCTCCAATATCCTCATCTTGCCTGTTACTCTCCACATTTATAACTGCATTTTTGGGGGCCGGCTGACCCACACTTTTCTGAGGTCAGCTAGAGCAGGTTTCTGCTAAGGGGCAACCACAGGATCACGGACAGAAAGACAAGTGTCCCTATCTCTACACTTGATCTAGGGATCGGATATTGGTTCTCACCAATGGTTGTTAATCGTCCCTCAGAGCATTTTGCTAACACTAAGAGATGGCAACCAGGCAAGCCGCTTGATGTGAGAAAATATCTCGGGCCACCCTTTTCCCTTTGCCACGGAGTAACTGGCTAGCTTTCCAGGGGCCACTTGTGGAAGGAAATGGCATTATCTGTGAACACAGGTTCCAGAATTGCAGTGAGAAAGTTGTTTTTCCGAATCAGTTGATAGCCCATATAAAAGTGTCAAGGGGGCAAAGGTGAAAATAGAACTCAAAATATTTCTACTGTGGAAAGAAACTTCATATGTACCTAGCATGTGTCGTAAACACCGTCACAATTAACGTGTATCATTACATAATACAGAGTTCAGAGACCTCGGTGTTGTTAAAGCTATTTGGAGATACTGTTCTCATTCTAAAAATATAGTACTTATGACTTTATGTGTATTATGTCTAGAATAATTAAGCTGATCTCACATGAAGCTTTGGCACTCTGTCTGCTAACATCGTTAACGTGAAGTGTTTACAAAAGGGGGACTTTGAATATTTTCTACTGCAGCAAGTTGCCTATGAATTTAGCCTATTTTAAGTGAGAAATTACAAACGTATGCATCAAATGATACACTACTTTTTCCTAGGGCTCAGGAACCCCTGTTCATTTCAAGATATGATCATAGAAAAAGGGAGTAAGAGTAGATAACAAAACAGAAAAGTCTACTTTTGATAGCTATAAGATTGGAGCACAAAAACAGAGAAGTCAAGTAATGAATTTAGATGAATCAGATCAGCAGAGTACTAAACTTAATGATTTAGGGCCACGATGATTTTGAAAGGGTCGAAACTAACAGAAACAGCATACCTGTATTCATTTTGACCTTGGAGGGTTTGTTATTAAAATCTTCAGTTTTCCTGTAGAAAGAAAATGATGCATTAATTTGCTCACTAGTATGTGGAACAAAATACCATGAACAAGTGTTTTTGTTTTGCTTTTGGTGTACCTCTGAGTTAATAGCACATTACCGTTAGTCTTATTTTAAATCGGGGTGAATAAGGTAGGCAGAATGTATAATTCTATTCAGATTAAACTTCAGTTACTATTGGTCCTTGATCATAAACATAAACTTAGGTTTTTGCTTAATGGTGACCACTAATGGATGAAAATGGCGAGGAATTCAACTGTGTTAAAAATTAAATTTCTGGGGCGCCTGGGTGGCGCAGTCGGTTGAGCGTCCGACTTCAGCCAGGTCACGATCTCGCGGTCCGTGAGTTCGAGCCCCGCGTCAGGCTCTGGGCTGGTGGCTCAGAGCCTGGAGCCTGTTTCCGATTCTGTGTTTCCCTCTCTCTCTGCCCCTCCCCCGTTCATGCTCTGTCTCTCTCTGTCCGAAAAATAAATAAATGTTGAAAAAAAAAAATTAAAAAAAAAAAATTAAATTTCTTTCACAAACATTTATGCTAAGAGTTTTTGTTTTCTAAGCCCCAAAGGGCCATTGGTTGTTAAGTGTCCTCTTCCAGAATTTTGAAAGGTAGTCTGGTACTTTGAAATCATGACCTTGCATTGTTCAATTTGTTACATTATTTAATTTATTTTGTTTGAGATCATGACCTTACATTATTTAATTTATTACTGGGTCAGTTTCTTACCAGGGAATAGTTAATGAATTGAGCATATACTTTGAGGAAACAGTCAAGAAAGATGAGATGCACCTATTTTTTCTTCTTAAGACACGGGAAATATAAGACCTATTTCTGTTTCAGTACCTGATGCTGTGGTTCTTTCCAATTTAGTATTTGCTGTGTAACAATTGAGGTTAATTCACTAGAAATGGTTGGTGGAATGTTGCCGGCTGCAGAAAAAGTTTTGAGATATTGTGCATTATTTTATGTCATGTGAGATGACCTAGTTCTTTCCCTGGCATATTCTTTCAGCCCATTTTTAGAGTTTCTTACTTCTCCATACACCAAGACCAAAAGGGAAGGACGTGCTGTCATAGGAAGCAATTCTTTTAAGAGCGAGAGCTCTGAAAGAGAGGTTTACCCTCAGCCAACCTGCCTTTGCTCCTGAGTTGGATGAACACAGACTTTTCCAGCCCCCATATATTCGGTTTCCAGGTACGTCAGCACTCTCTCATCTGATCACTTAAAATACTTATTTAGACATTATGGACAAGTGGGGATAGGCTGAAATGAAGCAGTCTGTCATGATCTGTCAAGAAAGACTTTTGATAAATACATTTTCCCTCAGTCTCTGCAAAGAGCACCAAATGAACTCCCTGTGTTTCTTGTCCCTGCCAGAGTTCTTGCCTTCTCCTCCTTTCTGACCATTTCTCCTGCCCTCATATGGTTGGCTCTGTTCATCAGCTATCATTGTCTTGCAATATGGCCATTGAAGTTCACCTCTTCCAGAAAGCCTGGTTTTGTCCATCACTACTGTGAAATGATAAGAACAAAATCAAAATGCAAACACCAGCTAAGTACAATGATACGTATCTTCTCTCCCAGGACCTGGAGGGGCGGGGAGAAGATGGTGAAATATATAGCCTGGGAAAAACACACTTAAATCATAGGAGAGTTAATTATGAACCGAGAGGAAAAATATTTCCTTTTGTTTAGAGAGAGAGAGAGAGAGAGAGAGAGAGAGAGAGAATGAGAGCACCAGCCTGGGAGAGGGGCAGAGGGAAAGAGAGAGAGATATTTAACTAGACTCCACACTCGGTGCTGATCCTGACACCAGGCTGGATCACACGACCCTGGGATCATGACCTGAGCCTAAATCAAGAGTCAGAGGCTCAACTGACTGAGCCACCCAGGCAGCCCCAACAAGGATTTCTTTTTTAATGATTAGCTTAACTTCCGAATACCTTGGTACTTGGTAAACACTAAAGCAGCAAACACACAGAATGGATAAAACCACAGTAATGATATTCCACCCCACCTTATTTTTTAGAACTATAAACTGAAAACAATACAGATGATAATATCCTAGTTGTGTAGTTTTTGTGTCACCTGATCGTGTTGGGTGTCCTATTCTTGCCTGGAGCTGCCCTGTCCAATACTGAGTGACTAAATATTACAGTGAATTTTACAGTGAAATTTCACAGGCCAACTGATTTTAAAAAGTGAGTGAGGGGAACTTCACTCTGATGAATTTTCTCTCTTTGTTTTCCGTGCACACAAACGAGAGGAACGTGCTCCCCCTCCCCGTCCCCCCCTTCAAATGTGGCCCTTTGTGAAGAGCTCTACTCGGTAGCCTCAACATGGCCCGTATTGAAGAGATGCCAGAGAAGTCAGGGAAGAAGGCAGTGGTCAGTGCAGGAGCCTTGAGAAAGCTCCATCAAACATATTTATTTTAATCTCTCGGTAGCAAAACTCTTAGTATGTTAACCTTAAATGGATAAAATAAATGGAAAAGAAAAGCCTCAGGGGATGTCTGTGACCAAGTCAGAGGCAACTGCTAAAACAAGAAGGGATAAACAGTCTCCAGAAAATGAGGACTGTAAAGGACAGACATTTCCCAAATTGTACTTTATCACTCCTTTTCAGAACACTTTATGTTGAAACCTGTCCTAAGTTTTTATTTGTTTATTTCTTTATTCATTTATTTTTTAACATTTATTTAGTTTTGAGAGACAGAGAGAGGCAGAGCATGAGCAGGGGAGGGGCAGAGAGAGAAGGAGACACAGAATCTGAAACAGGCTCCAGGCTCTGAGCTGTCAGCACAGAGCCCGATGCGGGGCTTGAACCCACAAACCGTGAGATCATGATGGGAGCTGAAGCTGGACATTTAACCGACTGAGCCACTCAGGCGCCCCTGTCCTAGTTTTTGAATTGAATGACAAAGATTAGTGTTTGCCTTGGAACACTACTGATCGGTAAAGAAAACAAACACAAGGAAGCTTCACTCTCAGAATACAAAAGCTGCCAATATAAATTAATAATGTTTTCACTCTAAGCTGGGGAACTAATTGCCAACATTTGTTGTTTGAATTCAAATGCAGATGTTTACAAAATATATGCCACTCAAAAAGTAAAATAGGATGAGCAGGAACAAAGAAAGGCGCCACAAATCCTTGAGATTTTCATCTTTAAAGTGATGTATCCTGTTGCTTATAAATGTAATTTCGTGAGGTTTTTAAGCTTCTCATTGTTTTAGATGTCAAAACGTAAAATGACTAACTTCCTGATCAGGCAAGACATTTTCCACGTTGTGAAAAGAAGAGCCACGGGTGATTGAGCTTTCCAGAAGAACCTGAAACCGAAAGGCTTCTTGGGTGACTAATAAAAATGCATGATTCAATTTCCATGATTTGTACTAAACCCATTAACAGGTCCACAACTGAGAACCCTCTTTAGACAATTTAAGCTAAAGCAAATCTAATCTCTTTTGTCCTTTCCTGGAAAAGTGTGTTTGATCGTATTTACAGAACAAGCATAGATTATTCTGGAAAGCATCAAATTCCTAGAGCGTTTGCATGCTACGAGGAGAGACAGTATTTCAAGTATTCTCCTAAACTGGAATTGAACCAGGGCCAAGAGAGTGAAAACTGATGATAAAATGCAGACCACCTTGAACCTCAGCAAATAACCCACAGAGCAAAGAACTCTGTGCATTAGTGTCAAAATGATTTTCAACAGGTGGTGGGGAGCTGTATTTACTTAAGTTCAGTTCTTGCCAAAGTTTTATGTAGAAAACAACTTTATATGTATACTAAGTTGTATATAGCAACCTATTTGTTTTGGCGTGGGTCACGGCAGCCTTCTTTCCCAGTATGCATATGGCAATAGATTGGGTTTGTTGTTCATGCTTGGGAAAAACGTGACTGATGAGGGAGTGTGGAGCAAGCTGAGGGCAAAATACAGGCTCCCCTCCCCAACCACCACCCCCCACCCCCGACCCCAGGTGAAATATGTGTGATATTCCTCAGATACTCCTGGCTACCCAAAAACAAAGGAAAGGGGTTTAAGTGTTTGCCATGGTAGTGTAGGAAAGTAAGGCAAATGAAATATTAAATTCCCTTACTGCCTGCAGCCCATTGACACGTCCTTGAAACTGGCAGAGTGACCTCCCTCTAGAAGCTCGGCTGCCTCAAGGATGACACTTTGCCAAGGGCAAAAGAGAACCTCAGCTTAACATTATTCTAACCTCCAGGATCCTGTAAGTCTACTTCCTTTATCTCAACTGCCCCAACATATATGCTGGCAATCCTACTCCAAGTTTATGGCCCCGGGATCTAAAGGGTCTCATGACTGAGGTTGTATTAAATGGTAATAAATGGCATTTCCCTAGCAACAGCTAGTCCCTCAAGGTCCTGGAAACCGTGCTTCCAGAATACCTTAGAGACTGACTCTATCCCTGACCCCCTCCCAACCTAAGAGCATATAATGAGTTACTCCACACAAGCCCAGAGCAGCTCTTCCTGCCCACAGGGTCCTGTCCCTGTGCTTTAATAAAATCACCTTTTTGCACCAAATATGTCTCCAAGAATTCTTTCTTGGCCTTTGGCTCTAGACCCCACGGACTGCACCCCGCCCCCCCCCAAACCTTCATCAATGACCTTGTGTCTGTAATCTTTTAATTCTGCTTGAGTTTCTTTTGATGATCTAACATCCACTTTTTTTCTTATGGATCAGAGCGATCTTTATTCCCAACAGGCATATAACAGTAGATTGGCTAATTTAACTTTTGGGTGAGGGTCCTAAGAAGATGTTTGATTGTTCAGGCTAAGACACCAACATGACTTTGTGCTCATAATCTTGTAATTCTCCTTGAATTCGCTTGTTTATCAGGTATCCTATTCTGAAAGAAGCAGAGGCAAAATCCTTTCCTCAAGTTTGGCCAAGAATTCTGTGTAAGTCATTTTATTTTTGTAGACCCAAATTGAAGCACCAAGAACATCTATAAAACTATAGGA